TGGATTTAGTGTGGCACTGGATGTTTTATATAAATGTAATTCAATTAACTTTGATAAAATCTTAAGGAAAACAATGATATTTATCAGAGCTATATAGGCATGTTTCTTTACAGATGCAAAAATAAATAAATAATCAAGTACCAAAGCACCCTAGGAAGACCATTGTCAGTCTACAAAATAATTGTAAATGTCTGTTCTTTTTAGACATGCTGATACCATAAAAAATTATTTGGAAAACGCGTTGATTGTGATCTTTGATAGGTATGTTTATCAACTTAGCTGGTTGATTGTATATTTTGTAAAAAGATGGTATGCACTTCAAGTAACAACATCTTATTTTAAATAAACTTTGTATACTTTTTAAAATTTATATTCTTCAGCTGTCGAAGGCAAGTATCTAAAGGAAACAGAATTTATCTAGTTCTCCTGTGAATTCATATGGAATCATTGTGTAAAATAATTTCATACTCAATTTCTAACACAAATAAATAGTAGTTATTAATGGAAACATTTTCCTGACATTTTCTATCTCTAAAAACTTGAAATTTTGCTAAAAGTCATAGAGAAAGAACTTCATTTAAAACTGCTGGTTGGTGTAATCACAGCATGATTACACAACATGATACCACTCTGGGATTACAGCAGAACCCAGACTAGGCATTGCCTTTGTGCCTCGAATAAGCACGTTTTTTTTAATTATCTTGGAGTGTCAAATCTTGAAATCTCAAACGTCACATTTACATTAAAGAAAATGGCTTTATTTCAGGACAAAAAAAGAACTAAGAAGTAGTCTGAAGTATAGCAGAAGCTAAAATGTGTGGTGATTTCTCCCATTAAAGGTTGAATATTGTAAATAAATTTCTATGTGCTAAATGTCTTGCACAGTAGAATTGGAGAGCCAAGGGTTACTATTACAGCACACCACTACATTGACATTTAACTTGATTTACACAGCATTAAGGTTCATCTGGTAAAAAGTTTTGCATGGTAACAGTATGATTACACATATAAATGTGAAACATTTGGACACAGTGCTCCAACAGCCAAATTGACTGAACTCTACATGAGCAGGTATGAGTGTATATGTAAAGGAAGTCTGTACAAATTGCTGTGTATCAGAACTGATGTTTGCATAGACACAATCTAACAATCAAGATTGATCCAAAGGTAGATTGAGACCTTAAACTCTGACAGAGCAAAATGTTTCTGAAACTTAGAACTAACTCCTTGTCTCGTAAATAGTTATGTGGAAAAAAAATTAAATTTTATTTGAAAGTTAGTTTCATTAAGTTTTTAAAATTTCCTTAAATTAGCTATTCTAGAGTGAAATACAAAATTATGTAAGAGCAAGTCAACAGGAAATAGAGGTAAATGTAAGCCTGTGGTGAGAAACAGCAGTTTAGTGTGTTCCCAACGGATAATAAACAATTCACCTCTTCCCTTTCCAGTATGGAAAAAAGGAAATTATAGAAGAATAAAGACTGGAAATATTTCCCTTACGCCCCATACATATGCTATAAATATCTCAGTGTCTGTACACAGAAAGCCAAATTTTGCTAAGACTTAAGACATCAACTTTGATCAGGAGAAGCATTAATATGGTAAATAAGTTTCAAATATTTGACTATCATCAGACGACCACAATTAGCATACTGATCTCTCACTGCTGTGATTGCCTTTATGTTTCTTGTCAGTGATCAGCTGCAAAATGCTTGTGCAAAGTGGGAAACACTCCAACAGCACAAGCAGTGCAACCTGTCTTTAGCTGACAATAATTTCTAAAAGCCCAACTCATTCCACCCCTGAGGAGGAGGCTTCATCATGGTCACGTCTCCTGAGTTACCTCAAGGTTAGATTGTTGTCAGCCCAACTGCCTTTTGGCCTTGGTACAACTTTCTTCTTTAGATTAAGACTGACCTTCAGTGGTGCAATTAGCTGAACAGTCGTGCAGAGGCTTAAAGCACAAAAATCCTGTTTTACAATCAGTGACTTCCTTTGTGAGGTGAAATACTGAAGTGCCTAATATAGTAGTTCCACTGTGAGCTATTCAGCAAGACAAAACCCAAATATATTAGGGAAGAACTTCTCAGCTGATATGATACACATTCACAAGAGATCATCACAATGTCTTTTCTTCCATGTGCAAAAAATATTTAGCACATTTCAACATTTCATCTAGAAATTAAAACCACCTACAATGTGAACCGGTTTTGGACATCTCTGAATCTTCTGTTTCTTAGGTGGTCTGAAATACTTATCTTCTCAAATCTGAAAAAAACATATGCATTGTTTTTCTATAGAAGTAAAGAGCTATTGGGGTACAAAACAAAAAACCCACCAAAATAGTATACATATTTTTATTGTTTTAAATGTACAGTTGCAAGACACATTAGGAAGTATCTCTCCTTGTCTTCCTGCTGCTCCAGTTACAACCCATTATATCTCACCATGTTAAGACCACAGACCTGCACATATTTATGCATTTCAGCAGCTCCAATTACAAAAAGACCATCACTGGTTTCTTCAGCTGTACAGATCCACCTATGCACAGGTTTGCCAAGCCACACCCAGGAAAACCTGTATTGGTGATTTTTTTGTTGTATTTATTTTTCCCCCCTGAAACTTGGACCTAATGGTTTACTCCTTACTGAGCATGCAACACACTATGGATTTTACTTCAGACAGTAAGATTCAGGCACTGATGCTGCAGGGACAGTCACACAGGCTGCAGCACTGGGGACTGACCAAGGGCCAGACACCACGAGCCACTGCAGCAGCAGACACATTTCCAATAAGCAAGATGCAACATAACCACACGAATCAGGACTTGGCCCTCAATTTCTGAGCTGCAACATGCCGGATGTAGCACAGCCACAGCCGAACTATCTCCCTCTCGCACAACACCAGCCGTTTGCCCCTTTTACATCACATTTTGTGCCCAGCTTGTATCACAGATCTGCCCCGAGGAGCTCCGTTGCAGACTGATGGGCTCAGTGACATGAGGGGGATGGCTTAGCAGGCCTACAATGCCCAGGACGCCATGCCATGCCACTTGGCCATGACATCATGGTGCAGGGGGAGCTACATCATGGCTCTGAGGTGCCAGTGGAGCTAGGGGGGCCAGCAGTCATAGAATCATAGAAGGTTCAGGGTTGGATCATCTAGTCCAATGCTCCTGCAAGGCAGGATCACCTAGGACAGGCCCCACAGGAACGCATCCAGGCAGGTTTTGAAAGTCTCCAGAGAAGGAGACTCCACAACCTCTCTGGGCAGCCTGTGCCAGTGCTCCGTCACCCTCACAGTAAGGAAAGTTTTCCTCATGTTGAAGTGGAACTTCCTATGCTCAGAGCAGGGACTGCTCTCGGTGCCAGCAGCTGCCACCTTCCACTTACAATCCAAGTTGTCCCTCAAGAGGGGGAAGGTGCAGGAGCAGCACCCTCAGAACAAAGGGAAGTGGTTCTGGTGCCTGTTCCTCTGTGTCAGAGGGACAGAAGTAGCAGGGGAAAATCTGAAGCGCAACAGAAAAACATGGAGCCAGGAAAGCAAATGAAAAGGTTCAAAAGAAGCGCACAGCCACCCTTGTAGTAACATTTATTTTAGCTAGTTTCAAGAACTTCAGTGTAAAAAAGATGTGTGCCGGTTGGAACACTCTCCACCAGCTGTACATGAGCTTAGAAATGACAGAATTCACACTTTTTCTTAGTTGCATTTATTGTGCATGAACTTCACAGTCACATTTCACTGCTTCTCATAGAAATTATATAAATTGACATACACACACATCAAAACCTGAGTTCTAAAAACAAAGACATTTGTATTCCTTACACGTGTACTATAAAATCCTGACAGCATTTTCAAGAAAGAACAGTTAAAGAGAACAGTCTCATGTTGGATAGCAGCAAAACTTCCGATATTATTGTCTTCCTTTAAATGAGAGAACACCCATGTTTGTTGCACATCAAACAGTTTAGTTATTTCTAAAGTTGTGCTCTAGGACAGGAGGAAGGTGGATTAATTTTTTTTATTTTTTTTTTTATATATTCAGCTACACACAACCACTCCTCATGAAAACCTTCCCAGTTTTGACTAGTGATTACCCTGACCCCACAGAGGTTTTGGCTTCTAAAAATAATTCTTGGTCTACATTGGTAGACAAAGTATCCAGGGCAGAGTGTTTCTTTCACCAACCTTCCCAAATAAAACCAAAATTCTTCCTTCTCCAACTTCTAGAAGACCGTTCTGTCTTCTGCTGCTTTTTACCTTCCCACATACACCACGTTAGTTTTTGAATTAAGATGCTGACATTTTTGAAGAGTCAAAGTAAAAAGCAGGGATGTGTGGAACTGATACATCTTCAATGAGATCTTTAAATCCATTTAACACAAGATAGTTACTAGGTCAATTAAAAAAGATAAGAGAGAGCTTACTCACAAGTATTTTTGTATTAAGTTAGTCCAGTCAGCAGAGTCAGAATTTTGTTATCAGCTGATGCAGGCTCCCAGTGATAGCCCTGAAGATCCATCTTAGAGGTTTTAAAGGCAGAATTCTGAACAACTGTCCAAATTGCTTTGTGACATTGTTTTGTACCAGACACTTGTATGTGCAATTTGCCATTCTAGGACACCTACCACTTTTATTTTTTTAATAACCCTAAACTGGATGCTAAATTTCCCCACTGGCACAGGCAACAGTCTCATTCCTTTTCTTGACAGAATAAGGAGACCAATCTGGAAAGCACGTGTATAGGATTATTGAAGTACACCACTTCTAACACTGGAAGTCACAGGACTCAGTGACAGAACACATCTAGTCTCAGCTTTGGCACTAGAAACTGAAGAGACATCCTTAACGAAGCCAGATTTCTCTAGAGAACAAATTTGCATTCTCAAAATATAAAAATACTTCGGTAATTTTAAGCATAAAGGTTACAGCAGTACAAAATAATAGCAACAACTGAACAAAGTTAAATCATTACCCCGGGTCCATCTTTAATCTATTAGGAATTAAAAATCTTTGAAGCTCCAGAACTTTTTGCAGGACTGTTGATTTGAAGATAGCCAAAGCATCCAGTTATAGCAGGTTTATAGTGTATGCAGCGTTCATCCTTCCATCTTAACTTCTATTTAAAAAAATGTAACAGATTATTGAAGAAGAGTCATCTGTAAAAATCAGTCTGGATATTACATTACCTCAAGTTCCCTCCAGAGCTCCAGCAGCAGTCTTCCAAACGCTGCTAAGTTTTGATTTGCTGAGATGTCAGTGCCAATAGTCTCTTGCTGAGCAGTGCATTGTGTCGCTGAAGATACTCTATTACATCTCCTTGCTTCTCAACTATCTCTTCTAAACTAGAATTTTCCCTTGAAATAACAAAAGTGAACATGGGTTTCAATAAGTGACAGCAGCTTTTTAACATACAAGATGTCAGAGGTAATTAACAAATACTTAAGGAAGTTGCTTCCTCGAGTTTTACTTTTGTTGATCTCAACTGATTTCTGAGGGAAGAGGCAGTCTACAACACCTTTATGTTTAACCTCAATCTTGCATGAGAAGGCAGGAAGAAAAAAGTTTGGCTAAATTTCTCACTAGATAGTTACAGAAAATTTGTAGTAGTACAAAGGTCCTCACTGTAACAAATTTATAGTTTGTGAGCTAGACAACAGGCTAGGATTGCATTAAGAATGTGTGACACGTTTTCCAAATACATTAGAAAGCTTATTTTAAGCAGGTGTAGTATTTTTATTCATCTGTGGGATCATAACATGTTTAAGACAAAATTTCTTTATTAACCTGCAGTACGTAGAAACAGCATCAAAGAGTTATATTATTTCAGATTTACAGCCTTATGTACAGCTAACCTTCCACTTAAAATACTCCAGCTTTCAGATATCCTTCATTTTAACTAGGATAGCAACACTGCAACATTAAATAGAGCCAGGTTAATTGAGAACAATCTGTGTAAGTACAGTATTTTGTCAAATCTATAATTAGGAACTTGTAAGAATACAGTAAGAACACAAACCGATGCCTAACCATATTTTGGTATTTCCTTACACATTATTTCTTCCTAGCTGACTTGGGAATTTGCTCTCTTAGTACATGTGTGAGCATCGTGGAGCTTAGAAAGTTGCTCCTCAGCCTTGCAGCATTTTGTGGAGGAACCTTGCCCTTTTAAAAGTTCTTAGAGAGTGCCGAGGAAGATAGCTAGAGTGGAGAAAAGCTTAGGTCCAGTTAAACTGGAAAAAAAGACAAGTTTCACAGACAGAAAGCTTGCAAACTTAACCAGTAATCTGCCCTACCAACTTAAAGCACAAGAAGTCCTGATCAGTAGCTTAGCTTGTAGAGGTCAGAATATTCAAAAAACAGTCTTATAACCAGGGTCAACTGAAGGGCTGACAGGATTCACTTTTCAATAGACCTTAACTCTCCAGGGAAA